TGATTTTAATATTTAAAATGATTCTGATGAATACTCACTTTTGTTTTATTCTTCGAAAATCTCATTTGAGTAATTGTTCGAAGTGGAATGGATAGACTCTCAGTTCAAATTAGACTCTCAGTCCAAAGAATAGAATTTTTCGTTGTTCCCTCAAATCAATTAAAGATTCCCTGAATTTTCTCGATGTTGTTATTGTTGATTAATGATCGTTGGAAATACTTACTGGTAGCAATTTTATGACTGAATAATTTTTAAGGGCACTCTCCAGAAAGCATCGTCAATTTGCGGCAATTCTCTTGATATTTTCAATGTTTGGATTGCAAGTGGTTCATGGTTTATTGAGGTTCGCTTCATTCACATTTCAACGTTTACGAGAATTATTACTTTGCATTGCACAACCGAATTTTTTTGCCGTTAAATAATGTGGAAACGACGAGCGCAACAATAGAAAGCACAATCGATCGACGCTATAATAAGCTGAAGCTTAGGTCGGTGAACGTGATCCAGCTGAATGATGTCGTATTGAAGAGATATTTTAGCGCTTTCGAGGAATCGATCGTTATCGCATCCGCTTAGTTGCTATTCATCGTTTTCGGAAAATGTGACAGACATAACTCGGAATTGACACGAGAAATTTCAGAAAATTCACAATCGCACTCAAATCTTCAATGAAAGCGAATATTTAAAGCTGAAAGAAATTGACGAGATGGCAATTGATTTTAACGACGGTATAAGTGAGTGAATTGATCACTTTTGGATGCGGCTTTCAGATTTTGCTGGCTGTATTCATTTGTGTTGATTTGGGATGATCCATTCAGTTCAAACCAAGATCACCCATTTCGAGTTTTTCTGTGTTATACATTAACGGAAAGATATTTATAGACTTATCCACTTGTGACGGTCTTAACTTGCACGTTCTGATCCCACAAGTTAGAGGTGGACCGATGCTGTGGGACATCATTCATCGTATTGATTTTAAGGTCAGTTTTCGTTTTGAATAACTGAGCTTTTCAGTCAATAACTGATTCAGTGAAAATTTCTTATATCGCTGATCGAACGTTCCTTAAATCCTATCGCCTCCTATAGAATTACTTCTCAGTGATTCAAGCAAAAATTTGACCGAAACGCATTTGCAAATGAAGCGGTCAATGGTTTATGTCGAGTGAGATTGCGTTTATCATCACGGAATGAACGAATCCCATCGAAACGCATCAAATCTTTTCATGATCATCTATAAAGCTTCATGATGACTGATCTGTTGTATTTTTACTCGTTGTCACACAATCACATAATTCAGCCCAGTTCCATTCCTTTCGTTTACTCATCAAATGTGATTTCAGCTCCGTTGTATGCAACCTGAGAATGTGAACAGCAAGGAGTGCTCTTGGATCAACGGTCTCAAGTATTACGTATATTCAGCGGTAATGGGCCACTTTGCTGATTTTTCTCTTTAAATTGTGTGATTCTAATCATTTGCTGACTGTAATTCATTGTTTGAATCGTCAGCGATTGTGATCAATCTTCTTCTTTTTTCTGAAATATTCATCAAAAAGCACTCATATTTTACGCATTTTTTGGCATTGTTAACTATTTGGCATGGCGTTCAAAAACGAGAAAGTACATTCGATGTTGAGGATTATAAATATTTTTTTAAAATGAGAAAAGAAAAGAATAGACTGTGCTTGTTTCATTTTCGTAGTCGATCAATGAACTGAAGATCAAGGCGATTTGTTGCCAATTCATTATCTTATCAGCGTTTTCTGAAATGATTGATTCCTTAAAAAACAAGAGCATTCATCATGAACTCGTCTACGCCTGTCATTTATTTAGCACTAAAAATAGATTTGCAGACAATGCAGTTAAAGTTTCTTTGGAAAAAGTGATCGAAATAAGTTTTCAGCACGACGATACATTGGCAGCATTGTTGGCTGCTCTCGGTGCAAAACACAAGCTTCTACCTCACGGTTATCCGGAATACGCATCAGCCGTTATCATTGAACTTTGGAACACCAAAAAAGGGCCACAAATTAAGGTGCTTGAAAATTTCATTGAATTTTGCGGATGCGACGAATTCTTTGTGATTGATTCGATCAATCTGAGACTGTTCAGCTCAATGTGAAATGTTTAGCGATAAAAAGACGTAAAGAAATGTCGAAGACAGCGATAAGGGAAGTAGTGATGAAAAAGATGTTAATGAATGCTTTAGAATAATGTCGAAGTATTAAGAATAATGAAGTATTATTTACATCAATAACTTCAGATGAAATATCATAGGAACAGCAATGAAGTAGGGTTCGAAGATGCCACTTCCGCCATCCAAGGTATGAACATCGTTCCGTCAAATTGTTCATCTTATTATGAGGTATTCCAATGTGATTAAACTGAAAAAATGAATTCCAATATGATAATGTGAAGAACTGAATTTCTTATTTGTTTGATCAATACCTAAGACGTTCCACCGATACTCACCAGTCATTCCTTGAAAGTAACGCATTTCACCAGAATCCTTTATTGCATCTATATACCAATAGCATTTGTTAGAGAGCAGCCGCAATTGATTATCCCTAACTGTCGTCCAAATAGTTCGATTTTGAAACTTGAAAATATAGGAAGTGCAACATATTGCTTATCGACTGCTTACGAGCATTCGACGGATTATGAATTTTTTATAACGCGCGGTTCATTGAGAACGAATCATTGGTTTCTGTTTCACGAAAAATTATTTTCACGCGTTTTGGGCATTAATTTCTGTTTTGCAAAATGTAACAAAATAAACGAGAAGGTGATATGCGATGTTGAGAGTTATGAATGTATTTTTTTGATGAGAAATGAAAAGAATAGATTGTGTTTGCTCTGTTGTCGTAGTTGATCACAGATCTGAGGATTAAAAATTAAGACGATTTATTGCCAGTTCAACATCGTATCAACGTTCTTTTCAAATTCATATCATTCCTCAAAAAAATATGAGCGTTCAGTATGAAATCGCCCATTTTTGCAGTAAACAATTGAGAATGCAATACCAATTCGCAAAAGAAAGTATATTTTTGCAGGATGCAGTCTTGAACAAGGTTACTGCTCGTATGCCGACTTCAAGAAGAGATCAGAGCCGTATAATCCTAAAAACATAACGAAGGTTCATTAACAATTCTGATTCTCCTAAAAGATTCTGATCGCACCATGAAAAGAGTTAGATGATCACTTGGAAAGCAATTTCAAACTATCGCTCTGCTAGCTTACAATTTAGTGCCCATTACAGAGCGATTGAGGGCAATTGATGATGGAAAGAGAATATTTAAACTCTGCTCACCGACTGAAGAATCAATTTATTTCATCATTCATTATGAAAAGTTGAATTCTTATTCATTTCAAACGAAGAAATCGAAATGTGATCAACAAAACCAATACCTTTGATCTAATTAAAACATCGAGAATATTTTTTTCAAATTCAGCTTTGCGATGACGTTCCTGGCAATTATGAGAAGAAGAAGCGAGACTATGTGATGAATCGAAATCAAGAGATTCACTGGATGGTGGAAAACGATGCCGACAAAATGGATCCTAATGAAAAACCGTTCAATGATTTCAGTCCGAAATTTGCAGTCCCGTCGAGCAACGCTGAAAATGAACTCATCTTTTTGCACATGGTTAGTTCTGATTTTAGAAACGAGAAAATTTGGAAAAATAGATGCTGAATTTGAAAAAAAAATCATTTTTAAAGATATGGCGACATGGTGATCGTACTCCAAAATGGTTATGTAAAAATGATCCGAACAATGCCAGTACGTGGGTCGAAGGACTCGGACAGCTAACACCGGTCATTACGCTGTTTTATCTGCTTTGGTTC